TGAGGCAAATAGTGGGCTAAATATCCTAATCCTATGCACTGATCTGGTAAATGTTATACTTCCTAGACATAGTAATGTTAATGATAGTTATTTCCCTTTTTTCTTTTCTTTTGGAAACAGCACCAGTGGTTCTGACAGCTCTCTCTCAGATGGTCTTCCTGTTCACCTGCTGAACATGGCAGATGAGGTGAGATTATATTAACTCTTACAACCCGGAAGTAGCAGCCTTAAAAAAATCACAATACTACTCAATAATTTGGTGAAATTTTGCAACTGTCCTAAGATCTACAGAAAATACAGCAATCGTATCCTAACTGGTCACCTTGCCCTGGAGTCTTTTATTTTGTCCTTTATAACTTTCTTGCTTAGGCTGGGTGCAGTGGCTCATGCCTGTAATCCTAGCACTTTGGGAGGCCAAGGCAGGAGGATTGCTTGAGGCCAGGAGTTCCAGACCAGCCTGAGCAAGAGCGAGACCCCATGTCTACAAAAAAATGGAAAAATTAGCCAGGCATGGTGGCGCATACCTATAGTCCCAGCTACTTGGAAGGCTGGAGCAGGAGGATTGCTTGAGCCCAGAAGTCAGAGACTGCAGTGAGCTACAATGACACCACTGTACTCTAGCATGGGCAACAGAGCAAGACCCTGTCTCAAAAAAATAGAAAAGTAAAGAAAAAACAAGAAGAAAAAATAATAACTTTCTTGCTTAATTATTAAAGCCACCTTATGGTAACAACCAAACTAATGATCAGGCCGGGCACGGTGGCTCACACCTGTAGTCCTAGCTTTCTGGGAGGCCAAGGCAGGAGGATAGCTGCAGCTCAGGGGTTTGACACCAGCCTGAGCACAGTGAGACCCCGTCTCTATCCCTAGGAACAAGAAACAAACAAACAAACAAACAAAAAGACAAACTAATGATCAGTTTAACCATACATCTAATGATCAGTGTTATCTGGGCCTGACATTATTGCCATAAGTAATCTGGTTTCATATTATAAATCACAGATATTTGGTTATTGGTATATGTTCCCCTTTGGCAGTGTATCTGTAATAGTGGGATTTGGGGGTGTTAAGTAGGGAGCAGCCTCTAGTAAGGAGGTAACTGAGCTGTCGATTGTCTGGGGAACCTGTGGCCTCAAGGTCACAGGTGGTCTCCAGATCTCCAAGTGCAGCCCATCGACCAAGTCCGTAACAGTCCTTTATTAAAGGGATTTGTTCTGTAAAATTTGGATTCGGTCAAAAGGCTGTACTCAAGGATCCAGAAGGCCACATGTGTCCCCAAGGCTGTGGGTTCCCCACCCCTGATAGCCTTTATGTCTTGAGTGTTGTGTGAAAAGTGTGCCATATGTGGGTGGACATAGCTCTGGAATCCTCAGTGACCAGTTTCTCTATTTCTGGAATAGTTGAATCAGAAGAAGAAGGCGCTTAAGAAGAAAAAAAAGAAGCTACGTCAGACTAGGAAACAGCGAAATGAGCAGTATCAGAAAAATAATTTGATGCAGGAGTTAAAGTTAACAGAAGAAACCCCCGTAAGAAAGCCCTGCTACCTATTTCTACTGTCCGATCACAGAGTATTCCATAGAGGGAGCAGGAAAAGAGGTTAAAGTTTACTCCAAACCAGAGGGGGATGGAGATTGGGAGAGGGGAAGGCTTTCTATTTTGAGGTCAGAGCCCTTCCATGAGTCTTCTGGACATCTCTGAGCAGGTTTCAGCCTTGGCCCACTGATCCTCTCCTATGCTCTGGCGTAGCAAGTCTGGCTTTAGACCAAGTCTGGATTTCTAGAGGAAAGAGATGGTACTGGAAGATTGGTGACTAAAGCTAGTCCGAGTGGATAGGTGACTGTGGGAGCAAGCCTGGTCCAGGTAAAGGACACTGCATAGCTCCCTCTCAGTCTTTCTCTGAGCTGCCACACTCAGACTGCACCATTTGCTTTCTAAAGCCAGAAGTGCTTTCAGAGCTGGTAGTTTTGCTGTTGGGTGAACTGGGTCAATTATGAATGGATCAATTCAAAAAGATTCTCTTTTCATTCATTCCTTCTAGGAAAGAGCAGGATATGCTTCTACTCTGCAAAAGCAGCCTACCTTTTTAAAAAATTCAGAGAATTCCCATTCTTCAACAATGAAAAATGAAAAACCAAGGTTCAATGAGGTAGTATTTTTGTTTGACTCTTTGTCACACACGTTCTTCTGATTTCTCCAATTAGCACATCTTACCCACAAGGTGAAAAACGCAATAGCCAATAGTCACCCTTACCTGTCAGTGCTACTGAGAGCAAGGGAAAATTAAAATTGGGGGTTGGCATGC